TCACAAATAGACGGTAAGACATTCGTGCTGCCTGCGCTGTACCACTCACTCACTGTTCACTTTCCTCGCTTTTATGACACAAAAATTCCGAGGCGTCTGGATATCCCATTACTCAATCTACTTTTGAGTCGACTCAAAAATCCTGAGGCGCCTGGATCTCCCATTACTCAATCTTCATGCATTCTACACGGAGGAGTTTCTTCTATGCCACTGTTCCCTCTCTATTCCGGAGGCACCTGAAATTTACTTTCTCTGCTATCGTTCACGCAAATGCACCTCAAATCTGAAACTGTCTCCTCTCCACAAGCGGACTCCTTCTATCTCTGTTCCACCCACAGCACAGGCATGCCAGCCAGTCCTTCTACTTCCCTCTGTCCCTCTGTCCTCTCATTTGGCCAACTCACCGAGGTGACTTTTGAGTCGACTCAATAGTCACCTTGACTCATAAGTCATCTCGACTTAAAAGTCACCTCGACTCAAAAGTCGTCTTTTGAGTCGACTCAAAAGGCATGCCATCCAGCCCTTCTACTGCCCTCTGTCCCTCTGTCATCTCTGTTGACCAACTCACCTCCCTCCCTCACCTCACCTTTTGAAGCGCCTTCGCAAAATCCCTATCCCGTTTCCTTCTTTCCCTTTTCCCCTTCTGCCCTGCCCTGCTCACAGGCGCCTCTTTTCCCCCACCATTCCACCCGTCCGCATGCCAAGCATCCCCTCTATCATCGGCCAACTCACCTCCCTCACTTCATTGTACGATCCCTCCCTCATATCCTTGAAAGCTGCAATGGTCGGGCTGTGCATCGGCCCAAGATGAGTCGCTGAAGCCTTGAAGAATAGGCGGGTTCACACCACCAAGAGTGAGAACATGGTCCTTTGTGCCCTGAAGGTAGCGAAGAACACGCATGGCCGCCTTCCAATGCTCTTCACCATGCCTGCCGGTGCCAACGAACTGCGCCAGAACACTGACTGGGTATGCATGTCGGGACGAGTGCAGACCATGGCGTACATCAGGGCCCCAACAAGTTCCGCATAGGGATGAGGGGAGGTGACGGGAGTGGTGGGGGGGGAGAGCCGATGCCCGGATGCAAGTGCTGTGGGGATGGGTTTGCAGGTTTTTATGGCAAACCTCTCAAGAATCTTCTCGATGTAAAAAGACTGAGAGAGGGTGATGGTCTTGGCAGTGAGGTCGCGAGTGATCTCCATGCCGAGGTAGTTGCGAACCTCCCCCAGGTCTTTGCAGGCTAGTCGTTTCTGCAGCTCATCCTTGACCTCCTGGAGGTCAGCAGCTGTGTCAGCGGCCAGCAGCATGTCGTCGACGTAGACGAGGATGAAGAAGGTTGATGGGGTGAGGCGCAGGAAGAGGCAGGAGGCGGCACGGGAGGGGCGAAAGCCAAGTGCGCGGAGGGTGGAGGAGAGTTTGGCGTGCCATTCCCGAGGTGCTTGTTTGAGCCCGTAGACAGGGCGTAGCAGCTTCCAAACAATTGTAGGGCCGTGAGGAGCGTGGAAACCTTTGGGACGTTTCAAGAAAATGAGCTCATGAAGGTCGCCTTGCAGAAAGGCGGTGGTGACGTCCATGGAGTGAAGAATTAATCCTGCGTCTGCCAACAAAGTCCAAAAACACGCGAATGACCGGTGGAGTGGCGGTGGATGAGTAGGTCTCGAAGAAGTCTGAGCCATAGGTCTGTGTGAAGCCTTTTGCCACATATCGAGCCTTGTAGACCGGAGCTTCGCCAGGGAGTAGTTTTACTCGGGAAAGCCACCTGCATTTGACCACATTGTGCTTGGAGGGACGAGGAACCTCGAGAAACGAGCGATTGCTGATGAAGGCGTTGCTCTCCTTGACCATGGCCTCGATCCAGAGAGGTGCATCAAGACAGGCAAGTGCTTGCTCATAGGTGGTGGGTTCGTAGATGGTGGGGGTGGTGGAGAAGAGAAGGACAGTGGTGCCAGCCATTGTGCGGACGACGGGGGCGATGGTGGGTGAGAGGAGGTGGAGGAACAGAAGCTCATCGTGAGAGTCTTCAGAGAGGTCCGGAGTGAGAGGAGGAGGAAGGGGAGGCGGTGAATTTGCAAGACAGCTGCGCTGGAGGGTCGGGCCGATGCGGGGACACAGCTGCACTAGTGCTTTGCTGCGCTGAGGTTCGGGGTGGGGAGACAGCTGCATTGCAGCTCGGCTTCGCTGAGTTGCCGTGAGGGGCAAAGAGACGAGAGTGCGACTGCTGAGAGAACCTGAGGGGCTGGTGCGGAGGAAAGGGGAGGTGCTATGGTGGTGGAGAAGGGGGATGGATGTGAGAGACTGGAGGGAGGGGGGGGTGGACCTTGGGGTACCAAGAACGGGGACCGTGGAGCGGGTGTGAGGGTAGTGGCGGAGTATGAGAGGGGGAGTGGGAAGTAGGGGCCGGGAGGATGGAGGTGGAGTGAGTGGGGGAGGGCGTGGGGAGGGGGGAGGTGGGGAATGTTGTGCATGAAGGGAGGGAGGGGGAGGGGGTGGGGAGGGAGGGGGAGGGGGAGGGGGTGGGGAGGGATGGGGAGGGGCAGCGGGGTGAGGAGGGAGGGGGAGGGGCAGCGGGTGGGGAGGGAGGGGGAGGGGGAGGGGGTGGGGAGGGATGGGGAGGGGCAGCGGGGTGAGGAGGGAGGGGGAGGGGCAGCGGGTGGGGAGGGAGGGGGAGGGGCAGCGGGTGGGGAGGGAGGGTGGACGAGGTCAAGGATGTCTCCTGATGAGGCGGGGGGAGAGTGTGGAGGGGGTGGGGGTGCAGGGGGGACAATAGTGGGGGGGGGAAGAAGGGAAGGGGAGGGGAGAGGAGGTGGAGGGGGAATGGTGTCAGTCCAGAGGAAGGGACGGGTGGTTAGAGGGAGGGGGTTAGGGACTTTGGGAGAGGTGTAGTATGGGCGGGCTTCATCAAATTCCACATCCCGACTACGAATGAGGCGACCTGAGGGGGGATGGAGGAAGAGATAGTCCGGGGAGGAGGTGTTGTGACCAAGGAAAATGCAAGGGAGAGTGCGGGAGGCTAGCTTCCCAGCTTTGCGTGAGCGGTCAACAGGGTGTATGAGAACTTATGCCATGGAGCCCCACACGCGCAGGGGAGAGATTTCGGGCTTTTTGGACGTCCAGAGTGCGGTAGGAGTGGTGGTGGGCCGGGAGGGATGAGGGTACAGGTTAGTGAGGATGGCAGCGTGGAGGATGGCATAGCCCCAGAGAGAGGGCGGGCACGAGGCATGGACCATGAGGCACCGAGCAGTGTTGGTGACCTCACGGTTGCTTTCCGCCACGCCATTTTGCTGAGGGGAATGAGGTAGGGTGTAGGTGTGAATAATGCCACGAGTGGTGCAGTAGGACGAGAGCATGTTGTTAAGGAACTCACCACCGCCATCAGAGTGGAAGCGGGAGACAGGGCGTTTGAAATGGGTGCGAGCTTGTTTAGCCCAGGCAATGATAGCAGCCGGGGCTTCTGCCTTCGTGCGAAGGAGGGAGACGGAGGAGTAATGGCTGTGGTCATCCACCAGGATGAGCAGGTATTTGTGACCTTGCCTGGTGGGGGAAGGGTTGGGGCCCAAGAGATCCATGTGGACAAGATCAAGAGGCTGGGGAGAAAAGGAGGGATGACTCTTGTGGGGGGCCTGTTTCAGTTTCCTTTCAACACATACTGAGCAGGGAGGGGAGGGTGACGGGGGGAGAGGGGGGAGGGTGAGGGGGAGTCCGTCGAGGAGTTTGGTGGAGACAGTTTGACGGAGGGTGGCAAAGTTGGGATGACCCAACCGATGGTGAAGGAGAACTTTAGGGTGGGTGAGGTCACGACAGTGACATGAGGGGGTGGGGGAGGGGGGGGGGAGTGGGAGGAGTGGGAGGAGTGGTGGGGGGGGGGGAGGAGGGGATAGGAGGAGGGGAGGGGGAGGGGAGGGGAAGTGAGGGAAGGGGGAGGGGTGCCGTGGGGGCGATGAGGTGGTGGATGGAGGTGCGAGGGGTGCGGTATGTGTACATGTTTGTGTGAGGGCAGAGGGGAATGCGACAGATGAAGTGGCCAGTGGAGGTATGAAAGAGGTCGCAGTGACGTGCATGACCAGGGAAGAGGGCGATGATACCGAACCTGGTGAGGTCACAAAGGGCTACCAGATTGTTGCGTAGGGAGTGAATGTATAGACCTGTGACTGTACCTGAGGGGAAGATTGGACAAGGGAGGGTGGAGGTGTGTCGACTTGTGATGGTGAAGTTGGAGTCAGCTCCGTGGATAGTGGAGGGAGTGGGGAGAGGTACCAGTGTGCCTGCATCCCGAAGGACAGTGTGTGTGGCTCCACTGTCAAGGATAAACTCAAGGCATGCAGAGGAGGAGGAGTAGGCGGAATACTGGAAGAGGGACTCATAAATAGCACGGGCATACCGAGGATCAGCAGGAGCAGTGCTCACATGGCCTGTTCAGCAGAGGGGAACGGAGTAAAGTCAGGAGGGTTGATGGAGGAGGAGGTCTGTTCAGCAGCATTAGCAGCAGATGTCGGGGGCCTATGGCCATATCCGGGAGGTGGGTAAGGAGGGTAAAGCCAGCCAGTATAGGGTGGAGGGTAGTGAGCGGGAGGGGCTGGAGGCGGAGGTGTGGGTGGAGGAGGAGTGGGAGTGGTGGGAGTGGGGGTGGAGGGGAGAAGATGCTGAACTTGTTGAGGGATGTGATATGGGAGATGATGAGTGAGGACATTGTGAAGGTTGGGAGTAGAGAGTTGATAGGCGGAGAGGGTGTGGATGTCATGGCGAAGCTCGAGCTTGTCAATAGCTCCGAGCCTAATGGGAGTAGAGTCGTCCGCCATGAGGAGGAGGAGGGGGGGAGGGGGTGACGACACCGGCTTGAGGGCGGGTGCGGTCAAAAGGGGGGGTGGGGGGGGGGGGGGAGGGACGACACCACCTGGAAGGGTGGTGCGGTCATGTTGCGTGCGGCGGCGCCGGGTTACCCGCAGCTGCGTTTGTGTCGCCCGCGGTTGCACCTTGGCGATTGCGTGTGTCTGTCCGTCCGCGGATGCGCCTGTTCGCCCACGGCTGCGCGTTCGTTCGCGGCTGCGCCTCGTTGCCCGCGGGTGTCCGTACGTCGGCGGAAATCGCCGCGGTGGTCGCGTCCGCCCTCGTCGGCGGGATCCGCCGCGGTGGTCGCGTCCGCCCTCGTCGGCGGGATCCGCCGCGGTGGTCGCGTCCGCCCTCGTCGGCGGGATCCGCCGCGGTGGTCGCGTCCGCCCTCGTCGGCGGGATCCGCCGCGGTGGTCGCGTCCGCCCTCGTCGGCGGGATCCGCCGCGGTGGTCGCGTCCGCCCTCGTCGGCGGGATCCGCCGCGGTGGTCGCGTCCGCCCTCGTCGGCGGGATCCGCCGCGGTGGTCGCGTCCGCCCTCGTCGGCGGGATCCGCCGCGGTGGTCGCGTCCGCCCTCGTCGGCGGGATCCGCCGCGGTGGTCGCGTCCGCCCTCGTCGGCGGGATCCGCCGCGGTGGTCGCGTCCGCCCTCGTCGGCGGGATCCGCCGCGGTGGTCGCGTCCGCCCTCGTCGGCGGGATCCGCCGCGGTGGTCGCGTCCGCCCTCGTCGGCGGGATCCGCCGCGGTGGTCGCGTCCGCCCTCGTCGGCGGGATCCGCCGCGGTGGTCGCGTCCGCCCTCGTCGGCGGGATCCGCCGTGGTGAGGGAGGGGAGGGGAGGGGGGAGGGAACGGGCTGCCAATCGTAACTTGTGCGGGGGAGGCACGGGAGAGTGCGTGAGTACGAGGGGGGAGGGGGGCCATGAAGGCGTAATAGCGCAACTTAGGCGCGAAGAGCGGCAAAGAGCCGTGCGAGAGAGGGGGGCGTGATACGGAACGCGTTAGGTGTGGTCCTTAGGATCGAGAGACGGTGTTAACCGTTGTAACTCTGATACCATGTGAGAAAACGTGAGGAAGAACCATTAGTTTCATTAGGAGAGATAGGGGTATACATAGTAGTGCTAAAGGGGGGGGTTGGTTGGAACCAAGCCAACATTATTGGCCCCCACCAATAAGTTGAGTTGAAGGATTATTGGGGGGATCAATAATGTTGACCAAGTGGTTCAACATTATTGGGGGGACCAACAATTCCCAACCCAACCTTGGGGGCCAAGGTTTGAGTTACAACCCCCAACTAGGGTTAGCCCTAGTTCTACACCCAAACTATGTTTGGGTGGCTATCTCCAACCTAAGCTTATAGGATTGATGTAGGTTACAATGAGGATGGTAATCTGACAGAGAGTCGTCTCACAATGTCTGTCCATCTGATCTTTTGAGGCGCCTCAAAAGTCCTGGCACCACCAGGAGCCTGGACGGCACTACCTTCTCCCCCTGCACCGTTACGTACTCGTTCATTTGAGAGTCGTCTCACAATGCCCATCTGATCCTCCTCTTTCCTCTCCCACCCACACCCCTCGCCTCTGAATGCTGGCCTCGCACCACCAGGAGCCTAGACGGCACTATCTTGTACAGCCCCATTCCCCACTGCTTCATTTGAGAGTCGACCCACAGTGCCCATCTGATCCTCCTATTTCCTCTCCCATCCACCACCCTCGCCTCTGAATGCTGGCCTGGCACCACCAGGAGCCTAGACGGCACCAATCCGCACTTCTTCGTCGATTAAATGCTGGCACCATCACCCTCCCTCTGAACTTCCCATTTCATCCACCCCCCCCCTTCGCCTCCCAATGCTGGCACCACCGCAACAGGCGCCTAGACGGCGGCACTATCTTCTCCTGCTCCATTCCGCACTTCTTCTCCCGCCTCACTGCTTTGACACGCCTGTGAGTGCTTCCTTACGAGTAGAGAGTACTGTCTCCTTTTCTTAGCTTTCTCAACGGTCGCCCACAAAGACTTCTCCCTCCCGGCTCATTATTTTGAGGTGCATGTGATGTGATGTGATGTGATGTGATGTGATGTGATGTGATGTGATGTGATGTGATGTGATGTGATGTGAGTGCTTCAAGGTGAATTTTGAGGCGACTCAAAAGGCACCTTGTTATCCTGAGGTGCCTGTGATGTGATGTGAGTGCTTCAAGGTAGACATGAGCAACGGGTGAACACCAAACGTGTTCGCCCAAACGTCCACAATCAGTTGTATTGGGCGAACCGAACATGTTCGGTTCGCCCGAACATTATTCTATCATTTTGTATGTTCGGTGTTTGGTTAGTGTGGGCAAACATGTTAACCCTTACACTCCATTCCTCTCCAAACCACTCCACCCCACTCAGCCCCAATCCATCCTACTCCACCCCACTCTACACCACACCACTCTACACCACACCACTCCACACCACTTCATTCCTCTCCACTCCACCCCTCTCCACCACTCCCCTCTCCGCAGGGACCTTGGCTGGGTGGGCCTCTCTTCCTCGCTGCCTTCTGGCTTCTCGCGACTCACCAACCTCATCATGCTGTGCGTGCAACTGTGTCTCACCCCTGCGGTCCCACCTAGCTAGCCAGTACCTACACACCCACCCACCCACCTGCTGCTCCTCTCTTCCTCACTGCCTTCTGGCTTCTCGCGCCTCACCAACCTCATCATGCTGTGCGTGCATGCGTCTTTGATGTGCCTGATTTTCACCCCTAGCTGGTTCGTAACGCCTAGGTTCTCCCCACAAGCACCCATTCATCTGTTTCATTGGTGTTACTTTTGAGAATTCTCAAATGTAACACCAATATTGATGTGCCTGATTTTCACCCCTAGCTGGCTAGTAACCCCCCTTGGTTCCCCCCACCAGCACTCATTCATCTGCTTCTCCTCCAAGAGTAAATGGCAACGCACAAGGCTGGTGAATGCTTTTGCTCTATCTTAAACCCTGAACCAAGCCATAACCCAAACCTTGCATCTCAAATCCCATCTACCTTTGCCCTCCCAACATACTTCCTTGCAGCAATTTCACCCTTCTCCACCTCCTCCCACCCCACCTTTCGCCCCTTGTCTCCCTATTTCTCCCTGATTCCCTCCTTCATCCCCTCTCATCCGCCTCTTGCATTCCCCCTGACCCCCCCGCCCCCTTCATCCCATCCCCTCTGATCCGCCCCTCGCATTCCCCATCCATTCCCCCTCCATCCCCTCTCATCCACCTCTTGCATTCCCCATCCATCCCCCCATCCATCCCCCCCCATCCATCATCCCCTCTAATCCACCTCCTGCATTCCCCATCCATCCCCCCATCCATCCCCCCCCATCCATCATCCCCTCTAATTCACCTCCTGCATTCCCCATCCATTCCCCCTTCATCCACCATTCATCCCCCTCTTGCATTCCCCATCCATCCCCCCATCCATCCCCCCCCCATCCATCATCCCTTCAAAGCCACCTCCTGCATTCCCCATTTATTCCCCATTCATCCCCTCTCATCTGCCCCTAGCATTCCCGATCCATCACCCATTCATCCCCCAATCATCCCCCATCCATCACCCATCCATTCCCCATTCATCCCCCATTCATCACCCATCCATTCCCCATTCATCCCCCATTCATCACCCATCCATTCCCCATTCATCCCCCATTCATCACCCATCCATTCCCCATTCATCCCCCATTCATCACCCATCCATTCCCCATTCATCCCCCATTCATCACCCATCCATTCCCCATTCATCCCCCATTCATCACCCATCCATTCCCCATTCATCCCCCATTCATCACCCATCCATTCCCCATTCATCCCCCATTCATCACCCATCCATTCCCCATTCATCCCCCATTCATCACCCATCCATTCCCCATTCATCCCCCATTCATCACCCATCCATTCCTTATTCATCCCCTCTGACCCCTTTCCTACAGCATTCTTCCCGGCACCAATCTCACCGGCTCGCTCGTCCCGCTCGCTTAGAATTGACTAGTAGAAATGGCTTCACCCTCCCTGATCCGCCCCCACCCCATCCCAACTCAATCCCCCCTGCACTCCCTCCGTACCTCTCCTGCAGCATTCTTCCCGGCACCAATCTCACCGGCTCGCTCGCCCCGCTCCTTGGCTTGAAGCGTCTGCAACACTTGTGAGTCGAGTCAAAAGGCCCTTGTGGGTACCTCCACATATTGCAACCCTTGCCTTCTGCCTTCCACGATTCCCCCTTGTGTCTCTTTTCGAGTTGAGTCAAGTCAAAAACCGCATGTTCTGAGCCGATATCTCAGGCGATAAAAAAACATAGACCACTCACCCACAGTTCATCATCCTCCTCGTATTGCAATCCTTGCCTTGTGGCTTCCCTTTTTCACCCTTTGTTTGCATCTCTCTCATTCTTCCCAACTCCCCTTTCTCTGACACCCAACCGGCACCCATCATATCATCACATCACCACTTGATCCGCCCCTTTCCTCCTGGAGGAGTTTTTAGAGTCGACTCAAAACAGTCTCTCCTCTGCCCCCCACCCCAACTCCCCTCTCCCTGGCACTCGACCAACACCCATCAAATCACCTTCCATTTGATCCTCCCCTCCCACCTGCAGCAACGGCATTCACAATCGCTTCTCCGGCAGCATTCCTTCGGGCATTGGCCGCCTCTCACACCTCTCCAGCATGTGAGTCTCTGCTGCTGCTGCTGCTGCTGCTGCTGATGATGATGATGATGATGATGATGATGATGATGATGATGATGATGATGATGATGATGATGATGATGATGATGATGATGATGATGATGATGATGATGATGATGATGATGATGATGATGATGATGATGGCGATGGTAATGGTAATGATGAGGGGAATGTGATGTGAATGTGAATGGCTGGTGCTGCTACTGGTGTGGATGCTGGTGTGAACACCTGTGAGCTGTGAGCTGCTGCTGTGAATGCCGGAACCTGTGGGCTGTACTCGTTATTTTCCTCGTTCCTTCTTCCTACTCCTTTATGTCCCTCTTCCCTTCCTCCTTTCCTCCTTTCCTGCCTTCTTTCTTTCTTCATTTCTACTCTTCTTCTCTTCCTCTCTCCACCGCTCCTGCTCTTCTTTCTTTCCTAACCTCAATCCTCTTCCTTTTCCACCCTTATCCTCCCACTGCCATTCACCCAGATGGCTAGACAACAACACCATCACCGGTTCCCTGCCAGCCTCTATCTCCAAACTCCAAAACCTCGTCTTCCTGTGAGCCTGTGCCTCATGCGTTGTGCCGTGCCTCATGCGTTGTGCCGTGCCTCATGTGTTGTGCCGTGCCTCATGTGTTGTGCCGTGCCTCATGCATTGTGCTGAGCCTCATGCGTTGAGGTGTGTCTGCATGAATCGTGGTGTGTCTGTATCTATGTTGCAAAATACGCAACCAGCGTACGGTACGCGTTCGAACTATACGCTACCGTACATTCGTGATACGCTGACTTCCAGCGTACAAAAAAACCCGAAATACGGAGTGTCGGGGAGGCAAAAAGATTCTTCGGGCAGGGATAAAACACTTCAGTGGAGGTAGAATCCTTCAGGAGATTTTTTTTTTCCTAGATGCTCGCTGATGCGGATAATCTCCTGATGCGAAATGCGTTTTTGCGATAAGGAACTCTGAATTTTTTAGGGATCGTTGGCCAGAATCGCCCTGAAATTTCGGCCGCGAAGATCCTGCGATGTGACGCTTAAGCCACAATTAGCAATAACAGATGCGGCATTGGCGGTCGACATAGCTGTTTGAAGCTACATCGTAGAGTAAAATAGGGGTGAGACAATTGAGATACGAAAGTCTGTTGTACTCTCGCCGACGTGAAAGCTGCCAGTTGCTAGTGGTGGGTGGGACGGAAAGGTTGGGTTTGGGAGGTGGTGTGGTGACGTGCAGTGGAAAAGGGGGGTGGGGGATCAATTCGAGTCTCGAATGTCAAATTTAGGTCTCACAGAATCGCAGATCGCGAGAACGGCGGAACATATTTTTGAGTTTTTTTTTCGGGCTGCCCGACCTAGCCGTATCGCGTATTATGGGCGTATCACGTCTTTTCGTATATACGTTTCCGTACAAACGTGATACGCGTCGAAGCCTTAGCGTATAGTGCAACATAGGTCTGTATGCATTGTGGTGTGCTGTCTTGCCTTGCCAGTGCGTGTACTGATGAGTCTGCATCTGTATTTCTGCATGCGTTGTGGTGTGTTTGCATGCGTTGTGGTGTGTCTGCATGCGTTGTGGTGTGTCTGCATGCGTTGTGGTGTGTCTGCATGCGTTGTGGTGTGTCTGCATGCGTTGTGGTGTGTCTGCATGCGTTGTGGTGTGTCTGCATGCGTTGTGGTGGTGTGCCTTCTTTGTCATGACCTTACATGTGTATACACCACTTAGCTGCCATGCGAGAACCTTACTTACCTACCTTACACGCGTTCAGCCTTCTTCAGACCAGTTTTTATGCTGCACTGCTCTGTTACTCATCACTCACCACTCACTACTCACAAGGCAGTCTGCCCCAGCGAAGCCATGGTGGGCCCTCTTGAGCTAGCTTGGTGACTTTTGAGTCGACTCAACTTACCCGTGCTCATTGCTCGTCACTCACCTCTCCTCTCATTCCAGGAGCATGCAGGTCAACCGCCTCACAGGCAGTCTGCCCCAGGCCATCGGGGGGCTCTCTAGCCTGCAAGGCCTGTGAGTTTTCAGTTTTCAGTTTAGAGATTTGCGACGTCTCATAACGCAAGGCCTGCGAGTTGCAGAGACTCAATTGAAACCACCCCAAGCCATGCGTGGGCTTTCCAGCTTGCAAGGCCTGTGAGTTCTCAGTTTTCAGTTGATAGTTTTGCGACGTCTCATAACGCAAGGCCTGTGCGTTTTCAGTTTTCAGTTAAGAGCTTTGCGGCGTCTCAAATCGCAAGGCCTGTGAGTTGAAGGGACTCAATGGAAACCACCCCAAGCCATGGGGGTCTCTCTAGCCTGCCTTTTGAGGTTGGTTTTTGAAATTTTCAAGATGAGGCCTGTAAGAACCACTTTCCGTCTTTCGCCTTTCCTACCACTCACACTCCTCTCGCCATCCCAAACAGACATAACCTCTCAGTCTTAAACGGTCCTCTCTTTCTCCCCCCCTTGTGTATCCGCCCATCACAGTGGCCTCTTACACAACAGCGTCTCAGGGTGTCTGCCCTCCACCATGGGCATCGCTTTTCGTCTGTTACCTTTGAACCACCCACCCTCTCGAACCGCCCTTTGCTCCCTCTCTCCCCCTGTGTTCCCCCCCATGCTGCCCTCCTCTATCCGCCCACCGCAGTGACCTCTCACACAACAGCATCTCAGGGTCTCTGCCCTCTTCCATGGGCAATCTCAAGCTTCTCCGCTCCATGTAAGTCCTGTTCACTGCATGCACGCCTCCTACACTTCCCATACCTACTACCCCCCATACTCAAGCTTCTCCAGTTAAGGAGTTTGATTTCTTTCTTTGACTCAAACACTCAGCAATAATAATTTCTGTGACTTCTCCACTCCCCTCCACCCACTCCATTTATGCCTTCGTCACTCCCCTATTCTACGGTCTACCTTACTTTTTTCAATTCCTTTGCTTTTCCGCTCCATGCAAGCCTCCTTCACCCTCCTTGCCTGTCTTACCTTTTTCAATTCCTCTCTTTAGGTTTGTTAAAATATATGAGTCTATTCGGCTCCGTGTGCCTTTTCCTTCATCCCGCTTACCTTAAACTACCCCGATTAGTTTCCTGTAGGTTGCCTTCGGAGTCTTACCTAAGTGAAGTCTTACCCAACAAAGGACTTGCTTAGCTAAACTCTTATCTTTCCAATTTGTCTTACCTAATATAAGACTTCACTTACGCAGAATGAAACTTACCTAATATAACTATTTTCAGCTTTTTACACTATGCTGTGGTCCAAGTATGTGGGTCGCCTTCGCTTAATTTATACACCATCTCTAGCTAGCACTATGAGAATGTAGTTCCAGGCAGGTCTCATTCAAGTCTTGCAAGCAAGCACCTTTTATAAAACTTTTACCGAAACATCATAGTTGCTGCCACGTAAATTCAGGGCACCTAACAGGGGCCCATTCATTTATACACCCTCTCTAGTTCCTTCCAGGCGTGTCCCATTCAAGTATACATGGGCACCAAGGCGAGTTTTTCGCCTCGGCTCGTACGTGGCACTCGTTCGAGGGCGAGTTGCGAGTGTGCTTTTCCCTGAAAATAACTCGTCCGAGCCGAGGCGAGTCTAACTCGGCGAGTTTTTAAAACTCGCCGAGCACTCGTTACGCTGACGAGCTTTTTGAAAAGCTCGTGCATGTATATGGCAACGAGCCGAGCTTCCCTCGGCTCGACCGAGCTTTTCTTGAAGCTCGGACGAGCTTTTGAAAAGCTCGTGCTATTTAGCCGAGTCACGAGCTTGCATTTGCCTGGAAAAAGCTCGTACGAGCAAAACTCGGCTCGGAACAAAGCTCGTATGAGTGTGCCTGGGGACGAGCCGAGTAAAGCTCGGCGCGGCTCGTTGCCCATGTATACATTCAAGTATTGCAAGCATTGCATTGCATGGCATGCGATGGAATGGAGTGGCACTACATATGGCATGGCATGGCATGGCATGGCATGGCATGGCATGGCATGGCATGGCATGGCATGGCATGGCATGACATGGGATGGCAAGGCATGGCATGGCATGGGATGGAATGGGATGACATGGTTGTTGTGTGGCATGTCACGGCATGGCAGGCGAGTTGACAACAACAGCATCACTGGATCCATCCCTCTCTCCTTCTCCTCCCTCACTGCACTCTCCTTCCTGTAAGTCCCTCACCACACTCTCCTCTCTGTCAGTCATTCCAAATGCTCCTTCTCTCAATCCCTTGACAATCTCCTTCCTCTCACTCCCTCTCCTTCCTCTCACTCCCTCTCCTTCCTCTCACTCCCACTGCTTCCTCTCACTCCCTCTCCTTCCTCTCACTCCCTCTCCTTCCTCTCTCTCCCTTTCCCTTGTCTCACTCCCTCTCCTCCCTCTCACTCCTCCTTCCTCGCACTCCCTCTCCTCCCTCTCGCTCCCTCTCCACTACCCATACCTCATTACGCTCTCCGCTTCGAGAAGCTGGTTGCACCACCATGTGCCTTTGCTGCGACGCACGCTCAAGCGGTCTTACCTGCTCTTCATAAGTTCTACTATCGATCCTTCCATACAGAAGTTAAGACCCTTTGCACTGCCCTTCATGTGTCTGCCGCCGTGACCCTCACATGTTCTTGCTTGCTTGCGCTCGTGGCAGTGCTGGTGCCATGTGTACTTGCGCTGCGGCCAATGTGTATAGGACCTCCCCTGTGCCCCACCTGTGCCCGCACACATGTATTATATTGTAACTGAGTGATTCTTTCAGTGTCTCGTCAGCTCCTATACTTGAGTCGACGCAATAATGTTTCCCTCGGTGTCTCATCAGCTCCTTCCAAGTTCCAACGCAACGGGACGGGCTGCATGGGGACAGGATTTGAGGCGCCTCGAGAACACTCCTTCCTTTTCATCCATCATCCAGTCTGCTCCTCGCTCCATTCCTCTCTGTGCCTCCCCTTTGTCTCATCCCGTCAGCTCCTTCCATTGCGCCCTCATTCCTCGCCTCCTTGCCACGCCTGCAACTCATGTGAGCAGCAGCGTTCTGTGCCAAAAAAAAAAAAAACTCAAACACAACGTGGAAACATGCCCTCCTTCCTCGCCCCCTTGCCACACCTGCAGCTGATGTGAGCAGCAGCGCGGATTGAAAATATCTCAGAAACACCTTGAATGAAATTATCCGTATCTCCTTGTCGCCGTGCCTTTTGGCGCACCTCAAAAGTCACCCCATAGGCCCTTCGCCGTCATCCATAGGCTCTTAGCCATCAGCCATAGGCTCTTAGCCGCCAGCCATAGGCTCTTAGCCGCCAGCCAGCATATCCATGTCATGTCACGCCAGCTGTAACTGATGTGCTTTGATTGAGTTGCCTCGCCTACTCCCCACCACCTCCTCTCATACCTCTCCTCCTTTAAACGACTATCCGCTCAACAGCTCTTTCTGAGGCGCCTCAATAATGGTGTGGTAACTTAACTACTAAACTAGCCACATCTTACCCCATTCTGCAGTCCCTTTGCTAATTCCCCCTCTCTCTATTCCCTTCCCTTCATTGCATCTCTCCATTGTGCGGAGACTCACTCCACACTGGGAGCTGGACTACGGGGAACGGCACGGGTGGTACGAGTGATCGTAGTGTTTGCTCGTATTCTCTATACTTGCGCATACGCAGGGCAGATTGGCAAGAGTTTCACTAGCAAAATGATTACACAATGATGCAAAAAACAATGGCAACAATGACAACATCAGAGGCCTAGCATCCTGCCACACAGGCAGGTCGACCTCCAACGCAGCACGGGGCGGCCTGCCAGCACTGCAAGCCGACACCGTGCCAGCGCAGCTTGGAGGCGGCCTGCCAACGCTGCAAGTCGGCGGCCTGCCAGCACTTCACCAGGACGGCTTGCCAACGCTTCAGCAAGGCGGCCTGCCAACTCTGCAGCATTGCGGCTTGCCAGCGTTGCAATTGCAGGTGACTGTAAGCGCATATGCGCGCACCTACTTCGCAGGTGCAGGGCGACGGTCGCACACGTTGGACTCGTTGGATAGCGCAGGTGCCAAGTCGGTCACGTGTCGACGGTTGCACCAGATGTGCCACGTCGACCTCGGGATACCGACCCGCAGGTCGTCTTCACCAAAACCTCCTGGGCGACATCCGCGAACCTCCGCAGGAATTCGTCAACCAAGTAATCAAGTCGATCGGGTAATGTCCCCGGCGGCCACAGGTCGTTGACCTCCCAAGTCGACGTCGGCCGCCGACTTCACCTCGTCGGCGGCTTCACAGTGGCGCCGCGGAAGTCGATTAAGTCTGTCGACTTCCTCTCCCAAGTCGGCGTCGACCACTGACAGCAGCCAGCTGCACCTCTAGCGCACACGACTGCGAAGGCGAACGGGGCCATTTCCCGTCTCTCCATTCCCCCCTCTCCATTCCCTTATCTCCATCCTCCTCTGCACCCCCCTCTGGTGTTTCCTTCTCTCCACCCGCTGTCTATCCATCACCCTTTATCCATCCCCGTCCACCCACCACTCCTCCATTCCACTCCACCAGCTATCTCAACAACAATAACCTCAACGGCTCTCTGCCAACCAACTTCGCAAGCTTCTCAGTCCTTCAAACCCTGTAAGCCTTTAAGGCCCTGTAAGCGTCTACCTCACTGTAACCACTGTCTTCGTCCCTCACTCACTCCCTCTGCCCCACCCCCATCTTGAAGCGTCTCCAACAACCAGAAACAGGGCCATCCATCCATGTGCCATTATAACGAGATGACTTCTGAGACGACTCAAAAGTCCTTCCGGCTCCTTTTTTGTATGATGCAGTGTGCTATCTAAAGCTCCCAAAAGTACCCTGTAGAGTCGACTCAAAACTCATTTCATCCGTCCCTCTCACTCTCTCCTTCCCAACCACACCTATCTCCACAGGAGTCTCTCCAACAACCTGCTTCGTCGGCCAGCGTAAGCAACTGTCTCCCTCCTTCCTCGTCCCCCCCCCCCCTTTCCATTCCCTATCTCCACAGGAGCCTCTCCAACAACCAGCTTCAGGGCTGCATACCACCCTCCATTGCGCAAGCTCCCAAACTGAAAAACCTGTGGGTGCTATTTCAAATTCCATCGCAAGCCACCTCTTAGAATATAGTGAGTTGCCTCTCACACTATAGTGAGCCGCCTCTTAGGCCACAATGAGTCCCCCATACAGTCCCTTCCTGAGCCCTGTCATCTCCCCGCCCCCCCTCCCCCCCGTCTCATCCACTCCCTCTAATTTTTCACCACCCGTCCCTCTGAGCCTTTCACCTCTCCCGTGCACCGCCCGTGCAGCCTGCTCGCAAACAACCAGCTGTCAGGCCGCCTCCCTGACCCTTCGATCACCAACCCAGCCTTCTCCACATTGTGAGTGGCGGGCGCCATCGCTACTCTTTTCCACGTCCTCTCTCCGTCCCCCTCTTCTCCATCACTCCACTCCAAATCCCTCCCCTCTCCACCCTCACCTCTCCACTCTCCCCATTCCATCCCTCCCTCACAGCGAAGTCCAAAACAACAACCTCTCAGGCCCAATCACAGATTCCGTATTCCCTGCCTTACCCAATCTCTACATCCTGTAAGCCCCCCACTCTCTGTCTCCCACCCTCTATCTCCTACCCTCTGCCGTCCACCCACCCTCTGTCTTCCTTCAATCCACCCTTTGCCTTCCACTCACCCTCTGCCTCCCCTACACATCCCTTTTTCCTCTACACTCCCCTCCTCCTATCTTTCCTAACAAAGAAGCAAGGTGACTCTCCCTCCGACCATCATCGAGCCCCTCTTTTGAGGCGCCTCACAAGTCGTCTATGTTCACGCGGTTTTGAGGCGCCTCACAAGTCGTCTATGTTCACGCGGTTTTGAGGCGCCTCACAAGTCGTCTATGTTCACGCGGTTTTGAGGCGCCTCACAAGTCGTCTATGTTCACGCGGTTTTGAGGCGCCTCACAAGTCGTCTATGTTCACGCGGTTTTGAGGCGCCTCACAAGTCGTCTATGTTCACGCGGTTTTGAGGCGCCTCACAAGTCGTCTATGTTCACGCGTTTACATGGGCAACGAGTGTAGGGTTTTTGCTCTACTCGTTCGAAATGCTCGTTGGGGGCCGAGTTACGAGCATGATTTTTTTGCAAAATTACTCGGCCGAGTCGAGCCGAGTAATGCTCGCCGAGCTTTTCATACTCGTCACATGCTCGTTCGCTAAGACGAGCATTTTCGTGCTCGTTTTATGCTCGACGAGTTTTTTTATGCTCGTCGAGCAAGTAATACTCGTCGCGTAGAATTTTCCCGGGGGTCAAATTTGGCGGGAAAATTTGACCCCAGATCTGAACCCATCAAATGTTCCCAACCATTTTGCGGGTGAAAGGCTTGGGGGATTGGGTGGGTGGACGGTACGGATGAAGGGGATGGGCGGGGATGACGGAGGCTACTGCTGCTGCGGGTGGGGAAGACATGAGTGGTTTGGTGGGATGGCGGCGGGTCATATTTAAAGCGATTTGGTTGTTGCTAAACTGCATGTTGTTTCTCACCAAGCGCACGCTCACCACCAGGGCGCTAGACCTGGCCCCTAGTTAAATTATCACATGCACAGCGATGTTTAGATGCTATTGGTGCTAGCTTGGAGTGCGTGAAAAGAGTGGTATGCAGCGGGTGTCGTTGTGCGGTAGTAATAGGGTACACGGGTCCACCACGAGCTGGATTATCACCAGGCCTCCTGGCGGTATCCCTGGGCTTCCTATTGCTTCCCTAGACTTCCCGTGCTATACCATGGCCCATCAAAATCATGGGCACGTCTGGCCTATTGATTTTTTCCATGTCCTTTGTATTAGAAGGGCAACATGTGCAGGTACATAGGGGCGAGTCGAGTATTTCAGTGCTCGGGCGAGTATTCTCACATACTCGCCCGAGCATACCCTAAATCAACGAGTCTAGAGTATGGTAAAAGTACGAAAATGCTCGCCAGAGCATTGCTCGGCTCGAGACAAATGCTCGGCGAGCATGCCCTCTGACGAGCCGAGTATTACTCGGCTCGTCACTTTGCCCATGTATATTCACGCGGTTTTGAGGCGCCTCACAAGTCGTCTATGTTCACGCGGTTTTGAGGCGCCTCACAAGTCGTCTATGTTCACGCGGTTTTGAGGCGCCGTACAAAACGACTCTCCCTCCGACCATCATCGAGCCCCTCTCTTTAGTTTGCATGTCAGAAACTGTTGCCCCTCTACTGCTTGTTTACTCTCCTCCGCAACTCCCTGCATGTCAGTTCCCTCTTCCCATGCATCCCCTCTCACTCAAACTTCTCCCTTATTCCCACCCCCCCCTCCAGCCAACTCTCGGGGAACCACTTCACAGGGGTTGTCCCTCTGGTGCTCGCTCAATGCCCAAGGCTCATGCAACTGTGAGACTTTGAGTGTGCCTCGTGCTCTCACTTCCAGAGAAAAGGCAAAATCACATGTGTCTCAGTCAGTCAGTGTCCGAATACTCCTTCCCGCCTCGCGGAAAATAACCTTGAATTCGAGTGCCATCTATATTGAAATCACTTTTGAGAATTCTCAAAAGTGATTTCGAATTTGATGCCGTCTCATTGTCTGAGTCTCTAACTCGTGCATCTGGGGACATGAATCTCTGTCTTTATGCGTGCATGCATGATGTGCCACCGGTTCTTTACTGGAAAAATGATGAAACACGAGCTGGTCAACCTGTTAGGTGTGCCTACTCGTGCAACCTGTTGGAAATCTCAATCTTATGCATCTGTGGACTGGAATCTTTTGAGTCAACTCAAAACATGTCGTGTGCCATTGTAACGAGGTGACTTTTGAGTCGACTCTAAATTTATCTCTAGCCCATGCATCTGTGGACTGGAGTCTCTGCCTTTATGCATGTGCCAGTTCTTTACCTCTTCCTCCTTCCCCCCATTATCCCTGTTCTGAGCTAGCAACGCTGTAGATTCCTTGTCTGTGATTCTTCTCTATTCCCCTTTCCCCCTCACTCCTCCTCTCCCATCCCACACAGCAACAGGAGCATCAGCGACGGCATGGAATGCCCCTCTCCTCACCATCCCTTCAGTGTTTATTCTGTTTCCCATTCCCCCCTCACTCCTCCTCACCCAACCCCCCCCCCACAACAACAGGAGCATCAGCGAGGGCATGGAGTGCCCCTCTCCTGCTTCTGCCTGCACTCCCTCTCTCACATCCCTCCTCGCCTCCTCTTCTGCTCCGCTCGCCTTCTGCTCTCTCTGCCCCAACTTCTGCACGCAATGCAAGACTGGTAATGAGAACACCACTCCCTCTGCACCCCTCCCTCTGCACCCCTCCCTCTGCACCCCTCCCTCTGTACCGCTCCCATTGCACCCCTCTCTTCGCACCACTCGTTTTGCATGACTCTCCGTGCCCTAAACGTGTGGTTGCATGCAGTACAAGATCTGTGAGCAGAAGAACACATGTCTGTTCACTCCACTCTTTCTCTGACCCACTCTGCTTGCCCCCCTCTGTTCGCACCACTCTCTGTACTCTCTGCTTTTTGTGGACTGTGTGAACGAGACTGGTAAGTCAGGTATATTGAGGTGACTTTTGAGCCGACTCAAAATGTGTCGTGTGCCATTGTAACGAGGTGCCTTTTGAGTCGACTCAAAAGTCTCGCTTTGCTCTCTGCTTTTTGAGGACAGTGTGTGCACGAGATTGGTAAGTCAGGTACGAGCTGGGTTTTGGAAATTCTAAAAAATGTGCTCTCTTCTTTTTATGGATTGGTAAGTCAGGTATATTGAAGTTGACCTTTGGTATAATCAGCATCTCTTGAAATCCGCACAACTTTGGTACACACTCTAACCCTAAAGTGTAGTACATTCCATTCCCTCCTTCCATAAGTCACACATACATCTCCCCCTAACCCAAGCGTGCAAGCATATCGTGATTGACCGTCACAAGGAGGAAGTTACTACTGTACTCTGTGAGCGTCTCTTGCAATCCACATGTTACCCCTTCCACGAGTCACATATACAGCTGCCCAATCGTGCTCTTCTCTCGCTCCCACACTACTCACTCGTTACCCTCCCTCTCTTCCTCATCCTTTCCCCTTCCATCCAATCTCTTTCAACCCCTTGTCTCCCTTGCAGCTAATCCTCCTCCCTCTCCTCCTCCTCCTAGCCCACCCCTTCCTCCTCCTCCGTCTCCTCCTCCCTCTCCTCCTCCTCTTCCCTCTTCTCCACCTCCCCCACTCCTCTCGCCACCACCACCATCACCTCCACCCCCATCACCACCCCCACCACCCCCTTCCCCACCACCTTTCACAGGTATGTATGATATGATTTGATATGATATGATATGATATGATATGATATGATATGATATGATATGATATGATATGATATGATATGATATGATATGATGATATGAGAGAATGTGGGCACACAACATGGTTTTATTAGAATTCTTGGGTATTTGTGAATGAATGCATGAGAGCAATGGACCAGCCATGGATAGGTATGTGTGCACAGCCAGAGACAGTTCTCAAAACTCTCCACGCTTAGCTGTTTTTCCTCCCCCCCTCCCCCCCCCCCCCCACACACACCCCCATCCCTCCCCCTTACTCATGCCTTCATGCATTCTCCTCCTTCCTCATGATCCATCCATTATGCCTTCATCCGTTATCCTCCAAACTCCTTATTTCCACTCCTGCCATCGCTCGCGTGTAATGAGTCGTGTTTTGAGTCGGCTCAAAACATGACCTTCTGCATGATCCATCCATTATCCTCCAAACTCCTAACTTCCACACCTGCCATCGTTCCCTCTTCACCTCATCCATTATCCTCCTTCCTCGTTATCCAACCATCCATTATCCACACCACACCTGCCATCGTTCCCTCTTCACTTCATCCCACCCAATGTCTCTCCCCTTCTCGTATGTTTTCTCCCCTATATTCTCTCCTTTCCCCCACCATATTCCCCCTCTTCACTTCACCACCCCCCCACCCCCACCCCCATCTCTTTCACAGCACAAGTGCCATCTCTGGCACCTCTTCCACCACATCCTTCCTCTCTTCCTCCTCCCTCTTCACTTCCCTCTTCACTTCATTGCATCCAATATTTCTCCTCTTCGTGTCTGTTTTCTTCCCTATCTTCTCTCCTTCCACCCCCCCCCCTCCCCCCTCCCCCCAATTCCCATCTCTTTCACCCCCTCCTTCCTCTCTTCCTTTCTGTTTTTCAAGCACCTATTACCACCACCACCACCTATCGCACCCATATATATATATATGTATATATATATATATATTCCCCTTCTGTTTTCTGTACTCCCTCCTTTCTCCCCCATTCCCATCTGTTTCGCAGGACAAGAGCCAGCTCTGGCACCTCTTCCACCACCTCTTCCCTCTCTTCCTCCCTCTCCCCCTCCCTCACCTCCTCCCTCACCTCCTCCCTATCCCCCTCCCTCACCTCCGTTACCCCCTCCATCACCTCCTCCCTCTCCCCCTCCCTCACCTCCGTTACCCCCTCCGTGCCCTCCTCCTCCCAACCCTCCTCCCCCTCCCCGGCCCCCTAGCCTCATCTCCCGCCGCTCACCAGCTCCCCCTCCCCCACCCAGACCTCGTAAGTTCCCAACAGCTCATTCCAGGTTGTATGTCAGTTGGGTAATTTCCCTGCTCATGTGGTTTGTCAGGTAACTTCAGGTAAATTACCTGGGTTTTTTTCAGGATTTGATCGTAATCACTCTGAGTTGAAAAAAAAGTTTTTTTTCCTTCTTTTCTTTTCTTTTCTGGTGTACAAATAATGCTATAATTGTGGTGTTTAATTTCCACCCTATCTGTCCATTCCCTCTTCCCTTTTCCCTCCTATACAGCGATCCCACCACCACCATCGCCACCACCACCATCACCACCACCACCATCCCCACCACCACCCTCCCCACCACCATCCCCACCACCACCCTCCCCACCACCCTCCCCACCACCACCATCCCCACCACCCTCCCCACCACCACCATCCCCACCACCCTCCCCACCACCACCATCCCCACCACCACACTCCTCACCACCACCCTCCCCACCACCACCCTCCCCACCACCACCATCCCCACCACCACCATCGCCACCACCACCCTCCCCACCACCACCCTCCCCACCACCACCATCCCCACCATCACCATCCCCACCACCACCATCGCCACTACCATCCCCACCACCACCATCCCCACCGCTACCGGACATCTAATCTCCTCCTAGTCCTTCAAGTCCTGGCGTTTCACCGCTGCCAGCAGCAGCAACACCAACAGCACCGGCAGCAGCAGCAGCCCTCCAACTGCAGCAGCAGCACCACCACCAGCAGCACCAGCAGCAGCACCACCACCACCACTAGCAGCACCAGCAGCAGCACTAGCACCATCAGCCAGTGCTTTGTTTAAGGATAAGGCAACCCCAGCACAGTCACCATCCTAAATCCGAACCTCAAACCCTAACCCCTGTAAATTCCGATCCCTAAACGAAACCTTAATCCTTATACCCTTAATCTTAACCCCTGATTTTTCAACTCCCCAACCCTTCAACCCGAATTCCTAAACCCTTGAACCCTAATTCCTGAACCCTTTACCCTAATCTGAACCCTTGACCCTAAATCCTGAACCTGAGCCCCTAAACCTTATTGGCAACTCCGGCACAATCACCATCATTGTCGCCATCACCATCACCATCATCACCACCATCGACATCAACACTAGCAGCATCACATGCAACAGCACCACCATCACCTGCTGCCAACTGTCAACGGGAGTTGTGTGTTGGCCCCGTCCTCGCTTGGGCGGAGCCGACTTCGTGGTCGGGTGTGAGGGGAGCAGCCGACCTGCAGCAATGGGCGCGCTGGTTGACGAGGAGGTCGACCTGCACGGGGACCACTGCACGGGCGCCGACTTCAGGGTGGCGCCGACTTCAGGGAGGTTGACTTGGGAATTCGACCTGCGGAGGACGTCAACTTGGTGACGTCAACTTGGGGCAGCCGACTTTGGTGGTCGGCTGACAGGACCTGCTGGTCGACTTGCGGGTGGTCGACCTGACCTGGTGGTCGACGAAGGAGGGGCCGACGTCGACCTCGATTCAGGACGCCGAGCAGTTGGGCGTCGAGTAGCGGGGCGTCAACTTCGTGACGCCGACTTCGGGTAGCCGACTTGGGAAGTTGGCTGACAACTGCACTGGTCGACGTGGAGCTGGTCGACCAGAAGTGACGTCGACCTGGAGCTGGTCGACCTAGGGGCGTGGTCGACTTGGTGAGGTCGACTTGGAGGTAGTCGTCGACTTGGGAGGTCGACGGGCACGTACGGGAGCAGCTGGTCGACGTGGTTGCCCGGTCGACCAGGTTACCTGGGTGACGAGGTTCTGCGGAGGAGTGCGACGGTCGCCCAGGCGAAGTTGGGGAGCCCGACCTCGGTGGTGGTATCCCGAGGTCGACGTGGCTGATCAGAGGCAGTCATCAGCGCCAGGTTGACTTGGTGTGTGCGCTGTGCAGGTGACGAGACTCTGCACTCCAATCATCTGCGAGCACCTGCGAAGCAGGTGCGCTGCTGTTCTGCGTAAGCAACGCTGGCACGCCGTCAACCTGCGACGTTGGCACGCCGTCGACTTTGCACTGCTGGAGCGCGGTCGACCAAGTCGTGCTGGAACGCGGTCGACCATGCTGCGCTGGCAGTCGATCGACCTGAATGCTTGCTCTGATGTAGTCTTGTTATGCCAACTTCATTGTACCATTGTTGTCAACCTTCTCTAGTGAAACTCTTGCCAATTCTCCCAGTGAACTAGCAAGCTGTGTATGCACTAGGAAAACGACTAAGGACCAACGAACGCAGAGATCACACGAGCATCCGTGCCTAGCCCGTAGTTTAGCTCCCGTTGTAGTAGTTATCTCCGCACCAACAACTTTATAAGCTAATGATTGGCCATCGCAATCCTTCTCCGGGATGCCCCTGAGGTGTAAGCACATACCGTGATCTCTCGGTTACAAGACCCCCCCGCATAAAAGACCCGTGGGTCTTTTATCCGGACCAAGGGTCTTTTATTAAGTCAGTCCTGGAGAGGACCTGGTTTTTAAAGCCCGCATGCAAAATAGTGACCCCTCCCTTCTAGTTGGGTCCTCTATATAGCTCATGAAAATTTCCAGAAAGTTACCCCAAGTAGTAACAAGACCGATTTGAAGTTGTTTCCGACTTCTGATACGATCAGTCGCAACATGCACAGAATTGTCGCAAGCTTGCTATGACATTTCCACTTCTCCCACCCATCCAAATCCGCATCGAGCACAACACATCACAAATTTCACAACGGAACCTGCCACCACACACGCAGCATACACACAATGTTGAGCTAACTAACAACACCGAGTGATGCAAGTAGCAAACAGAAGAACGACAAGGTGACTCGAGAGGAGAGAGAGGGGCCGACGGGAATTAGAACGGTAAGGGAGGGGGTATAGCAAGGGCGATTTACCGTACAATGGGGGAGATCGCGGGCGACGGAAAATGGAGTAGATCGCGTAGGCGACTGCAAATAGGGGATCGCTATGAGATCGCGTGGGAGATAGCGAGCGCGACGGGGAGAGGGGGGAGAAACAGCGAGCGCGACGGGGTGAAGGGGGGAGATAACGACGGCGCGGAACGTGATGGGAGATAGCGACGGCGCGAGACGTCCTTGCTAGCTTAACTTATGTCGCGAGACGTGATCGGAGGGGAGGCCATGAGCGCGAAGGCGATGCGAAGACAGGTGCACGTGAGCGCGATGGTGACGGGAGGGCGGAACGTGAGCGCGATGCCGATGGGAGGGGAGGACGTGAGCGATAGGAGATAAGTGGGGAAGGAGAAAGGCGACGGGAGGGAGAGCAATAAGGCGATGGGAGGGAGAGCGGACAGGCGACGGGAGAGAGAGCGCGAAGGCGAAGGTAGGGAGGGCGGACAGGCAACGGGAGGGAGAGCGCGAAGGAGACGGGAGGGAGGGCGCCGACGGGAGGGAGAGCGCGAAGGCGAGGGGAGGGGGAGCGGACAGGCGACGGGAGAGAGAGCGCGAAGGCGAAGGGAGGGAGGGCGGACAGGCAACGGGAGGGAGAGCGCGAAGGAGACGGAAAGGAGGGCGGACAGGCAACGGGAGGGAGAGCGCGAAGGAGACGGGAGGGAGGGCGGACAGGCAACGGGAGGGAGAGCGCAAAGGAGACGGGAGGGAGGGCGCCGACGGGAGGGAGAGCGCGAAGGCGAGGGGAGGGGGAGCGGACAGGCGACGGGAGAGAGAGCGCGAAGGCGAAGGGAGGGAGGGCGGACAGGCAACGGGAGGGAGAGCGCGAAGGAGACGGAAAGGAGGGCGGACAGGCAACGGGAGGGAGAGCACAAAGGAGACGGGAGGGAGGGCGCGAAGCTGACGGGAGGGAGAGCACGAAGGCGACGGGGGAGAGAGCACGAAGGCAAGGGCGGGGGGAGCGGACAGGCGACGGGAGAGAGAGCGGACAGGCGACGGGAGGGGGAAGGGATATCGCAAGGGCGACGGAAGGAAAAGGGGGACATCGAAGGCAACGTGAGGGAAGGGAGATAGTGAGGGCGACGGGAAGGAAGAGGGGACATCGAAGGCGAGGGGCGGGAGAACGGAAAGGCGACGGGATCGGAGGGAAATCGCGAGGGCGAGGGAACAAGAGGGGTGAACGGGAGAATAACGGACCGGGAGGGGAGACCGTGACGACGACGGGAGGGCCGTCACGCGTGTGTTTGCGAGGGCGACGGAAAGGCGACGGGACGGACTAGAGAGCGAGGCGACGGACAAATTGATTGAGACGGGAAACTGGCACTGCGCTACCAGGCCATGTAAACCTACATTTCACACTCTTGCTAAGTCGACGATAGACGCACTCGTCGGTAATTACGTGGCTATGACACGAACGCCTGTGCTTTCAGCTATACTACTTACTATGCTATGCGGAAACTAGTGATGAATGGAGTGACAGAAATCTAGTAATGCACCCATCACCAGCTTGAAAATGAGGTTGGGCCTGCGATGGGAAACCATCGCCTGGGGTTTGTCGTGCGGATGCGGCACGCAAAAATGCGACGGCTGATACGAGAAAGAAAGTTCATTTTGGCGGGAACCATTACGTTCCATTGTGGCGAGAGCCAATAACATGAGTTCACTCTGCCCATACAAATCGTTTGAAACAGTGTTTTTGACACTGGTTTCATCCTCACTTCCAACTCCTCATTCAAGTTGGGACGGGGGTCACTATTTTGCATGCGGGCTTTAAGCACTATTTCAATTATTTTACTTCCACATCTCTAGACTACAGTTAAGTTACTCTACTAAACAACGGTACAATGTTAGATGCTACAATACCAGCAAACTACCGCCAGCAGGCGCTAACCACCGGTAACCTACCTACTGCTACAGCATGCTACTCCTCCTCCTCCTCGCCGTCCACCTCCTCCATATCGTCGTCCTCCTCCGGTGCCTCCTTGTCCCGCTCCTCCTCCTCCTCCTCCTCTTCCTCCTCCTCCTCCTCCTCCTCCTCCTCCTCCTCCTCCTCCTCCTCCTCCTCCTCCTCCTCTTCCTCCTCCTCCTCCTCCTCCTCCTCCTCCTCCTCCTCCTCCTGGGCAGTGGCGTACATGGGGTTCACCCACTCCTCCACATCCCCCGCCGCGTGCACGTCGTCGTGCACCTCCACTTGAGCTCCATCGCGCATGTGCGCGAGATCAAGTGATCCTCGCGCCCATCGGGGTTGTTGGTGATGCCGCATGTCTTGAACGAGCGGACAATGAGGTCCTCAGGGACGGCGGCCCAGGCCGTGGCGATCCCCAGGAGCACCAACTCCGCTGGCGGCTTCCTGAGATTGCCTGCAGCGGTGAACAGGCACAGATGCGTTAGCATGCGGACACTGTAGCTGGCGGTACAAGGGCGCAAAGACGGTAAGAAATTTCTTACTGGCGGGGGTCAGGGTGTTGTGTCAAGATAGCAAGCAGGAATGAATGCATTGAATGAAATGTGGGTACAAGTACTAACCCTAACTTCGGGTTGTACCCCATATTGGCTACCCCACTGTAGTCTACACAGAACTAACACATATATAGTTTGACATACCCCCATAGGCAAAGTGGGGGAGAACAAGGGGTCACAAGACCAGTCAAGAAAAGCAAAGCAAGCTCGGGGTGGATCACAACGTCAACACACACTCGAGCACAAGCAAAGGGCCACAAGGCCAGTTCACATGCAGAGGTATATATGCAACAACAACAGTCCAGTGATCACTACCTAGCAAGAGCAAGCATGCATGTATATATATAGATATATATCACAGTACAAGCAAAGTCACGAAGTGAGCAAGTGAGACGAAATAGGCACAAGGCCTAACATAGTACAGAAGCGCTGATGATCACCAGACGGAAGTGCCTTGGTGAATATATCAGCAGTGTTGGCCCGAGTGGCCACGTGAGTAAGACGAAGCTGACCACGCTGCTGCAACTCTCGAGCGAGGAAGTAACGCAGAGCGATGCCGTTCTGTGCTCCTGACACAAGGCAATCATGGCCTTGTTGTCTACGTACAGAACTGGAGGAGAACGAGGCCGCTCTCCCAAGTCGGTCAGCAGGTAGGTGAGCCAGCGTAACTCCTGTGCAGCCATGCCCCCTGCGTATATCTCAGCCTCACAACTGGAGCTGAGAACAGAAGACGAGCAGGTAGACCGCCAAGAAACAGAGCCGCAGCCAAGGCTGAAAGTGTAACCCTGTGACGACCGCTGCGTAGCCAGGTCGTAAACCCAAGAAGCGTCTGAGTGTCTAGTGAGGACAACTGAGCTCCGCCCTCCAAGCACGAGCCCCATGCCCGATGTGCTGTACAAGTAGCGCAGTACCCTCTTCGCAGCATCCATGTGCACCTTTCGGTGCCTACCAGGAGCCACGTAGCGTGCCAGAAGGCCAAGAGGCTACGCAAGGTCAGGACGAGTGCAGGTCATCAGGTACATGAGGCAGCCCACTAGCTTTGGGTACAGGCCACTCGGCTCTACGGACTCGTCCGAAGGTGGAGCTGAGAGCGAGTGACCTGTAGCCAGAGGAGTGGACTGTGGCGAGGACCAAGTGAAGCCGAAGCGCTGAAGGACCTGCTGCACCATGTGTGACTGATTCAGGGTGATGGTGCGGCGTGCTCTGTCCCGGGTGATCTGCAAGCCAAGGTAACTGCGCAGCTCACCCATGTTTGTGCACGTGTGTCTCTTCTGCAGCTTCGACTTCACAAGGGCGAGAGCCTCAGTGTCAGCAGTGGCAAAGACCAAGTCGTCGACGTACACGAGGATGTAGAACGGCGGCAGCGAAGTGTCGGTGCGTAGAAACAGCGACGGGTCAGCAGGGGAAGGGGCAAACCCAAGAGCCGCAAGTGTCGCCCTCAGTGTGTCGTGCCACTTACGAGGCGCCTGACGGAGACCGTAGACTGGCCGACGGAGGCTCCACTGGGTACCAGGAGGGAACGACCCAGTGAAGCCAGGTGGGCGGCGCAGCCAGATCTCCTCGTGCAGACTGCCCTGTAAGAACGCTGTGCTGAAGTCCAGAGAGTGAAGCTCGTAGTCACGCTGAGTGGCAACGTGCAGCAGCACCCGAAGAGTGGTCATCTTCGGGGTGGGGGAGAAGGTCTGGAAGAAGTCAACTCCATGCCGCTGACTGAAGCCTCGTGCAACGTAACGAGCCTTGAAGACAGGCGGAGAACCCGGCGGCCGCTTCACCCTGAAAATCCACATGCCATCGACGATGTTCGCCCCAGGAGGGGGAACCTCATCGACATAAGTGCTTGTGGACTTCCAGGATGCCATCTCTGCGTCCATGGCTGTCTGCCACTGAGAGGAGTAGGGACCCGCGATCGCCTCAGCGTAAGAACGCGGAGTCGGGATGTCTGGTGCATCCGGGTCTCCCTCAGGGGCAAGCAACATGGCGACGAGATGAGGTGCAGCGGCTGCAAGACACTCAAAGTCCTCCTGCCTGTCCTCAAGGACGTCCGTGCCAAGAGCACACTCACCCCCGACGGACGGAGGACAGACAGACTCAGACTCAGCAACAAAACTAGCAGCGTAGTCTGGACGACAGGCAGCAGCAAAGTCAACAAGCTCAGAGACTAAGGCAGACGCAGCAGCAGACTCAAACGACGGGTCAGTGACAACAGTGGCGAGCAGACACGTGACAGTAGGGTGAGCAGCACGAACCAGGTCAGACTCAGGGTCCTGAACATCAGACAGAGAAGACGCAGGAGGAGACGGTAGGGGAACACGCTGTGGAACAGAGGAAGGAGGCGGACGCTCACGAGGAACACGACGACCAGTGCGACGCGCGCGAACAGGCGAGGCAGGACGAGACGCAGGCTCACGATGCTCTGTAAGCGAGTCTGACTGCTCAGTGTAAGGAGAAGGAGCAGGCAGTGGTGCGCCGGGCTGTAACGGGAGGCCAGTAGAAGACGGGAGGCTAAGAACCTGGCGAAGCACGGAGTCAGGCGGTGGCAGAGACGACGGTGACGGCGGAGCGAAAAACAGTCGCGACGGTGCAGTGCCACCAGTACCAGTAGCTCCAGCGCCTCCAGCAGCTCCAGAACCTCCAACTTCAGCGCCTCCAGCAGCAGCACCTCCAGCTCCAGTGACTCCAGCAGCAGCACCTCCAGCTCCAGCGCCTCTAGCAGCTCCAGAACCTCCAGCTCCAGTGCCTCCAGCAGCAGCACCTCCAGCTCCAGGGACTCCAGCAGCAGTACCTCCAGCTCCAGCGCCTCCAGCAGCTCCAGAACCTCCAACTCCAGCGCCACCAGTAGCAGCACCCCCAGAACCGGCACTTCCAGCCTCAAGGCCCCCAACTCCAGGGTCGACAGGACCAGCGCCAGGGCCTCCAGCAGCAGCACCCCCAGAACTGGCACCTCCAGCTCCAGGGTCTCCAACGCCAGGGTCGACAGCACCAGCTCCAGGGCCATGTTAGAATCCCAGCCACTAACCACTGGGATAAAAGGGCTTGTTTGTGTAGCGGGTGAGTGCGCCTATAACCCCCCAGGCTAACGTGCCTGTAACCCTTCCCTAGGATCAATCGAGGATCACCAGTGGACCTCTGACACCCCCCCGCACTGGGATGCCCGAGATGCACGCACTGGGATTCGAACCCGGGACCTTCGTTCTGATACCATGGCGCGATAGCAAGCAGGAATGAATGCATAGAATGAAATGTGGGTACAAGTACTAACCCTAACTTCGGGTTGTACCCCATATTGGCTACCCCACTATTGCCTACACAAAACTAACACATATATAGTTTGACATGTTGATGCCGAAGTCAGCAAACCAGTCGTTGTACATCTGCCGGACGCCCGCCTTGAATGACCGATTGATGCTCACGTCCAGCGGCTGCAGAAGAGGCGTGCAACCGCCAGGGATGATCGCTGGCGTGATGCGATGCCAGCGTAGCGTCCCCCGTACCGAGTCCGTCAGATGCCCACGGTATGAGTCCAGTATGAGTAGCGCCCGGCTGCGCTGTTTGCCTGGGCGGGGGCGCGTGTGAGGTACCAGCACATTCTGCACCCAGTCTTGGACGAGGCTGGAATCCATCCAGCTTCGTTCTTGCGCTCGAACGAGCATGCCTGCACACAGAAAGTGCATACTGTCAGAGGGGGGCAAGCATGCACAAGACAAACCATGCGGCGAACAGGGACGCACGCAACAACTGACCTGGCGGGACACGGATGTTGGGGATGGTCTTCCGCTTGAAGATCACCATCGGCGGTAGCTTCACACCCGTCCCCGTGACCGCCAGCATCACGGTCATCCGTGATTTCTCGTAGCCGGCACTCCGAATGTGAACCGCGCGCTCGCCACGATGCGCCAACGTCCTCTCGTGCGGCATCTCGAGGAACACCGGGGTCTGGTCGGCGTTGATCACGTTCCAGGGGTCGATGCCGTCGCGGACCACTTGCCTCCTGCAGAACTTCCAGAAGCTTTCACACTTCGTGTTGCGATCTGCACGTAAACATAAAAAACAGTCACCCACGGTTGAGTGAGTTATTGTAGAGCAATAAACATATCCGCTTATTACTTTTACGCACCTTCAGTAAGCCGCTGCCCGATCTTCGTCTTCACCCGCACGGTAAGTCCCCAGCGCCGGCGAAACCTGACCGTCCATCGAGGAGATGCGCGCCAGTCGACCTCAGGGTGCCAGTTCTTCATCGAAATCCGGCTCCACGTCTGCAGCAGCTTAATCGGGACCGCCAGGCCCCGTGCCCTGTGGCTCAGGAACTACTTGTAAACGGTGCGTTCCATGTCAGGGTAGCGGGCATGCCGTCCGCCACCCGCAAGCCGCAAACGACTGCCAGCCGACGCTGCCATCTCTTCAGCCGCCTTCCTCTAGCGGCGGATGCTGACAGGTTGAACGCCGGCCAGCCGTGCAGGATCTCATCCTTCATCCGCCTAAGCCAACCCCACTTCTCAGCCATGGTGCGAGCGTGCCGCTTGTGCTGATTAATCCTGTTGCGGGAATCGGGGGTTACTGCATCTCGTGCGACCGCGGCAGGGTTCACATCGCGCAGCACATCTGTGGGGAACCGGGGCAGAGGGAAAGAAAGGTTTTCACCTGTCGTTGCGGCATCGTCGCTCCCCTCATCATCCGTAGAAGACGCGTCAGGCTCCGTCGGACGAAGAAACTCTTCGCCGTCGTTCACAGGTTCGAAGTGGTAAGGGAAAG